TCACAGCCAGTTTTTTTACTACAGTAAAACAACAGGATGGTGAAACATTTGTAAATCTTTATTAGCCTTATGGTGATGGAAGGGTAAAAATGTATGTTTTACTGTTTACTTTTAGGGCAGCACATTATTGAGAAATCTGTAAATTAAGGTAATCTTGCAATATTTAGCAAATATGATTACCAGGTAAATTAACCCTTGCGATAGATAGATAGATGATAGATAGATGATAGATAGATGATAGATAGATAGATAGATAGATAGATAGATAGATAGATAGATAGATAGATAGATAGATAGATAGATAGATAGATAGATAGATAGATAGATAGATAGATAGATAAATGATAGATAGATAGATAGATAGATAGATAGATAGATAGATAGATAGATAGATAGATAGATAGATAGATAGATAGATAGATAGATAGATAGATAGATAGATAGATGATAGATAGATAGATAGATAGATAGATAGATGATAGATAGATAGATAGATAGATAGATAGATAGATAGATAGATAGATAGATAGATAAATGATAGATAGATAGATAGATAGATAGATAGATAGATAGATAGATAGATAGATAGATAGATAGATAGATAGATGATAGATAGATAGATAGATAGATAGATAGATAGATAGATAGATAGATAGATAGATAGATAGATAGATAGATAGATGATAGATAGATAGATAGATAGATAGATAGATAGATAGATAGATAGATAGATAGATAGATAGATAGATAGATAGATAGATAGATAGATAGATAGATAGATAGATAGATAGATAGATAGATAGATAGATAGATAGATAGATAGATAGATTGTCACGGTCTGTGGTGAGCCCCCTGCATGTAATCTGTTTGCTCTGAGTATTGTTGCAGGTGGGTGTGTCTGAGAGCCACCAGCTGCAGCTGATCCCGTCATCAAGGCCCAGGGGATTTAAGGAGCAGTGTGACACTTCACCACGCCGGATGATTGCTCAGCTTTGGGTTTCACTCCACACTCCACCATCTCAATACCAGCTCGGATTCCTGCACTTCATCTCACGCTGTCTCCTCCCCTGGCCGCCCGCTCTCAGCCGCTCACCTGCACCCACCAAGCCTCTGCTCCTACCTCCTCTCATATTCGACAGTCCCTCCTCCTTCTGGAGCCTTCCTGCTCACCCGGACCTGACCTAGCCCTTCCAGAGGCTCTCACCACTATCTACATCAGTAAGCTCTCCTCCTCAGATTATCCTCCATCCTTCCCTCCATATACTCACTCTTTCTCCCTCCTCAGAATCCTCTCCTGGAGCCTTGCTGCCAGCCTGCACGTCGCCTGTTCCCGTTCCTCTGATTTAATAATAAAGAACGTTTTACTTACTTGCCGTTTTCTTGTGATGATTCTGCATGTCGTGGGTCAAGAAAATCTCACCCGCCATGACAGAATCATCCGGCCATAATGTTGACCTCATTGCAGAACCCAACCCGTCTTCCGCTCCGCTTGCTGCTTCTGAGATACTCGCACGTCATGAACACGTCATCCATGGCTTACTGGAGCAAGTCTCCGACTCCCACCGACGATTACTCCAGATGGAACCTATTTTACGTAATCTCACAACTAGCTTAACCCCCCCGGAACCTTCAGTTCAGCAGCCTCCAGTTTCTCTTCCGTCCGCACTTCCGGTTCCGCCGCCTGCTGTAAACTTCCGGATACCCAACTCTCCCCCTCCAGACATCTATTCCGGTGAGTTCGGCAAATGCCGCGGATTTCTCTTTAACTGCCAGTTAGCTTTTGAAAGATCACCTGAAGCTTTCACATTAGACTCAGTAAAAATTTCCTATATTATCGGGCTACTCCGTGGTAAAGCTTTAGATTGGGCTGAAGCCAGGAGCCATGACTCCAGTTTTCTGCGCGGTTCGCTCTCACAATTCCTGACAGAATTTAACCAAACGTTCGATCATTCTGAGTCCCCAGCTGAGGTAGCCAAAAGGGTGTGGAATCTCCGTCAGGGAAACCAAACTGTAGCCGATTTCGCAATAGGATTCCGCACGCTGGCAGCAACTTCCTCACTGGATCGTGGTTCATTACTGGGAGCATTCACCCAGGGATTAAATGACCGTCTCCAGGATCAGCTGGCATTATGTCAGGAGCCTCCCGACCTAGAAGCCCTTATAGCCCTGACCATAAGAATCGAAAGACGCCTCAAGGAGCATTCTAAGGGTTCTAGGAAGCCACATTTTTCACTGACTCAGACCAGAACTACTCAGCCACCAGTGGCATCATCTTCTGGGGAGGAGCCTATGCAGATCGGCAGAACCCAGTTAAGCCAGGAGGAGCGACAACGTCGTCTCTCCGCTAACCTTTGCCTCTATTGTGGTCAGCCGGGGCACAGAATCTCAAATTGTGGCTCACGGTTAAAAGGGCAAGCCCACCAGTAGTTCCGGGATTACTGGTGGGTGGTAATGGTGGCCCAAACTCCTGATGTATGCTATCCTGTACTGTAATGTATAACCAAGGAAGTCGTGTTTTGAAGGCTTTACTGGATTCTGGGTGCGAACGTAACATGCTGGACAAATCAGTCGTTCAAGATCTGGACATTCCCACTATTCCCCTTCCGACTCCTCTACGAGCATCATCCCTGGATGGTAACACACTCACTACCATAACCCACCAGACCGTGCCAGTCAGCTTACTGGTGTCAGGCAACCACCAGGAGAGTATTTCATTTTTTGTTTTTCCTTCTCCTCACTCCCCGGTAGTCCTTGGATATGATTGGTTACTGGCTCATAACCCACAAATAAATTGGAAAACATCCCAAGTTACTGTTTGGAGCTCCCACTGTTTAACTAATTGCCTTCGTTCTGCTTCACCCATCTGTTCAGCACCAACTTCCAGACCAACAGCCGATTCCCCAGTTCTCCCCGACCTGTCAGGAGTACCGGAGGAGTATCATGACCTCTCCCTTGTGTTCTGTAAGGACCGAGCCTCTTCTCTACCACCTCACCGACCTTACGACTGTGCCATCGATCTCCTGCCAGGCGCCACACTTCCATCCAGCAGGTTGTATAGCCTTTCCAAACCCGAACAGCTCAGTATGTCCACCTACATAAACGAATCCCTTGCATCCGGTATCATCAGACCATCCACTTCACCATTAGGGGCAGGCTTCTTTTTTGTCTCTAAGAAAGATGGCTCACTCAGACCATGCATTGATTACCGAGGGCTCAACCAAATTACCATAAAAAACAAATATCCACTTCCGTTACTGTCATCTACATTTGAACCAGTCCAAGATGCAACCATCTTCACAAAACTGGACCTACGCAACGCTTACCATCTCGTCCGTATCAGGGAGGGCGATGAATGGAAAACCGCATTCAAAACTCCTCTGGGTCATTACGAATACTTAGTCATGCCTTTCGGCCTCACAAATGCCCCCGCAGTGTTCCAATCCCTGGTCAATTCCGTTCTTGGCGACTACCTCAACCAGTTTGTTACCGTCTATTTAGATGACATTCTGACATTTTCCAGATCCCCTGCAGAACACCGACAGCATGTTAGATGCGTACTTCAACGCCTCCTGGAGAACCGGCTCTATGTGAAGGCAGAAAAATGTGAGTTTCACGTCTCCTCAGTTAAGTTCCTCGGTTTCATCCTCGAGAGCGGGCGGTTGAAGACAGATCCGGAAAAGATCAAGTCAGTTCTCTCCTGGCCTACTCCCACCACACGCAAGCAGCTTCAACGCTTCCTAGGTTTTGCAAACTTTTATCGCCGCTTCATTAAAGACTACAGCCAGACTGCCGCCCCACTCACTCAGCTCAGATCCATAAATAAACCCTTTATTTGGTCCTCCTCTGCTGAAGAGTCCTTCCAAGCCCTAAAAAACAAGTTCACACAAGCACCTATCCTGACCCGTCCCGACACTTCTGCCCAGTTCACCCTGGAGGTTGACGCGTCTGACTCTGGTGTTGGTGCTGTGCTGTCACAGTTTCCCCCACAGATCACCGTCTCCACCCATGTGCTTTCTTCTCTCGCCGCCTCTCCCCAGCTGAGCAGAACTACGATGTCGGGGATCGGGAACTGTTGGCCATTAAACTGGCCCTGGAGGAGTGGCGACACTGGCTGGAGGGAGCGGAACATCCTATAATCATCTGGACTGACCATAAAAACTTGGCTTACTTAAAGGAGGCAAAGAGACTGAATCCACGACAGTCCCGCTGGTCCCTGTTTTTCTCCCGTTTTCACTTTCTCATCTCTTTCAGACCCGGTTCCAAAAACACTAAACCCGACGCCCTGTCCAGACTGTACTCACCCGACAAGGATCCCGAATCAGCTCCTATTCTGCCACCATCCTGCATTGTGGGCGCTGTAGATTGGGACATCACAAAGAGGGTGCAGGAGGCCCAGCAGACTGAACCTGATCCAGGTACTGGTCCACCACAAAAGATTTAAGTCCCTGTCCGTGTTCGTGGTGACCTGATACATTGGGCCCACACTGCCAAATTCTCTATTCACCCGGGAGTAGGCCGCACGTTGGCGTTAATCCGCAGAACCTTCTGGTGGCCCTCCATGTATAAGGATGTCCGTGAGTACATCAGTGCCTGTTCCATTTGTGCCCGAAACAAAAGCAGCAATCAACCTCCAGCTGGTCTTCTCTCTCCTCTTCCTGTGCCCACTCGCCCATGGTCCCACATAGCTTTGGATTTTGTTACCGGTTTGACCTCCTCTAACGGTTTTTCAGTCATTCTCACTATTGTAGATCGTTTCTCCAAATCCTGCCACCTGGTTCCTCTCAAGTCACTCCCATCCTCTGCCGAAACAGCCAGTCTTCTAATCAAACATGTCTTCCGTCTTCATGGGATTCCAGCAGAGATCCTGTCCGACCGTGGCCCTCAATTCCTGTCCCGTGTACGGAGAGACTTTGCCAACCACCTTGGGGCCCGTGTCGCCCTGAGCTCCGGGTTCCATCCTCAAACAAACGGGCAATGTGAGAGGATGAATCAGGAGCTCGAAGCTATGTTACGATGTGTGTGTTCATCCAACCCCTCTGGATGGAGCTCCCAACTGCCCTGGGTTGAATATGCCCACAACGCTCACACCTCCGCATCCACAGGTTTGTCTCCATTTGAAACCGTTCTAGGTTACCAACCCCCTCTATTTCCGTCCAGTCAGGACCCTCCTACCACGGCCCCCCAGTTCATTCGCCGTGCCAGGCGCACCTGGGCTCAGACCACGGCGGCCCTTCAGCGAACAGCTGACCGCAACCGCCGTCTGGCGGATCGCCACAGACGACCCGCTCCTGTGTATGTCCCTGGGCAGAAGGTCTGGCTTTCCACCAGGGACATCCGGCTGAGGGACACCAGCAAGAAGTTGGCTCCTCGGTTCATTGGTCCTTATCCTATCTCTGAGGTCATTAGTCCCTCCACTGTCCGCCTGGCCCTGCCTCCATCCATGAGGGTCCACCCTGTATTCCACGTCTCCCTGGTGAAGCCTGTTCTGTCCAGTCCCTTGTGTCCTGCCCCCGCTCCTCCTCCGCCTGCCCGGCTCGTTGGCGGTGGCCTGGTTTATCCGGTCCGTCGTCTCCTCGATGTCCGTCCCCGAGGCAGGGGCCTCCAGTACCTGGTGGACTGGGAGGGGTATGGACCGGAGGATCGTTCCTGGGTGCCTCGTTCCTTCATCACTGATCCGGATCTCATCCGTGACTTTGAGGCCTCTCGGGCTTCCTCCTCCTCCGCCTCCTCCTCCTCTGCTCGGCCGCCGGGTGGCGTCCGTTGAGGGGGGGGGGGGTACTGTCACGGTCTGTGGTGAGCCTCCTGCATGTAATCTGTTTGCTCTGAGTATTGTTGCAGGTGGGTGTGTCTGAGAGCCACCAGCTGCAGCTGATCCCGTCATCAAGGCCCAGGGGATTTAAGGAGCAGTGTGACACTTCACCACGCCGGATGATTGCTCAGCTTTGGGTTTCACTCCACACTCCACCATCTCAATACCAGCTCGGATTCCTGCACTTCATCTCACGCTGTCTCCTCCCCTGGCCGCCCGCTCTCAGCCGCTCACCTGCACCCACCAAGCCTCTGCTCCTACCTCCTCTCATATTCGACAGTCCCTCCTCCTTCTGGAGCCTTCCTGCTCACCCGGACCTGACCTAGCCCTTCCAGAGGCTCTCACCACTATCTACATCAGTAAGCTCTCCTCCTCAGATTATCCTCCATCCTTCCCTCCATATACTCACTCTTTCTCCCTCCTCAGAATCCTCTCCTGGAGCCTTGCTGCCAGCCTGCACGTCGCCTGTTCCCGTTCCTCTGATTTAATAATAAAGAACGTTTTACTTACTTGCCGGTTTCTTGTGATGATTCTGCATGTCGTGGGTCAAGAAAATCTC